TTGGGTAGAATGTTTCCGGGGGAGCTGGGGGGTTTTAAATTCTATTGGGTTTGAATGCTCCGGGGGGAACTGGCAGGTCTTTATTTATTGGGTTAGAATGCCGGGGGAACGGCGGGGCCCTTAATTTCTTATGGTAGAATGTTTGGGGGAAAATGGCGGGTCGTTATTTTTTTAAGGTAAAATGCCCCTTGGGAGCTGGAGGTGTTATTTATTAGGTAAATGCCCCGGGGGGAAACTGGCGGGTTCGTTTTTCTATTAGGTAGTTGCCCCTGGGGAAAACGGCGGGGCTTTATTTATTAGGTAGAATGTTTCCGGGGGAAATGGCAGGGTCTTTTTTTTTAGGTTTAGAATGCCCCTGGGGAATTTGGCAGGTCTTTTATTCTATTGGGTTGGGAATTTTTGGGGGAACGCGGGTCGTTATTCATTAGGTGGGAATGGGGGCCTGGGGAGCGGGCCAGGTCGTTTTTATTAGGAAAGAATGCCCGGGAAAAACTTTTTAGGTGTTTTCTATTAGGTTAGAATGCTCCTGGGGGGGGCTGGCAGGTCGTTATTCCTTTGGTGGAAAGGGCCCGGGGGAAAACTGGCAGGTCGTTATTCTTTTGGGTTTTTAGGCTCCGGGGAATGGCAGGTCTTTTTCTTTGGGGTAAAATGCTCCTGGGGAAAGGGCCCGGTTGTTATTCTTTTAGGTAGAATGCTCCGGGGGAGCTGGAGGTCGTTATTCATTAGGTAAAAATGCTCCGGGGGAAAATGGCAGGTCGTTATTCATTGTAAAATTGCTCCGGGGGGAACTGGGGGTCTTTTTTCATTAGGTGTAAAATGCCCCTGGGGAAACGGGCAGGTCGTTTTTTCTATTGGGCCAAAAAAGTTTTGGGGAAATGGCAGGTCGTTTTTCTATTGGTGGGAAATGTTTCCTGGGGAACTGGGCAGGGCCTTTATTCTTTTGGGTAGAATGCCCCGGGGAAAACGGGCCAGGTTTTATTCTATTAGGTAGAATCCCCGGGGGGAAACGGGGCAGGGTCTTTTATTCTATTGGTTAAAATTTCCCTGGGGGAAAAGGGCAGGTTTTATTTATTTGGTAAAATTTTGCTCCTCGGGGAATTTGGGCAGGTCTTTTTTCTATTAGGTTAGAATGCCCCTGGGGAACTGGGCAGGTCGTTATTTCTATTGGGTTGAATGCCCGGGGGAAAACTGGCAGGTCTTTATTCTATTTTTTTGAATGCCCCGGGGAAAAAAGGGCGGGTCGTTTTTCCCTTTGGGTTGGGAATGCTCCGGGGGGAAACTGGCAGGTCGTTTTCTTTTTAAGGTTGAAGGCTCCGGGGGAACTGGAAGGTCTTTTTCTATTATGTAGATGTTTCCTGGGGGGGCGGGCAGGTCTTTTATTCTTTTAGGTGGGAATTTGCCCCGGGGGAAACGGGCCCTTTGTCGTTTTTCTATTGGGTGGGTTGGGGAATGCCCCCTGGGGAGCTGGCAGGCGTTTTTTTAATTGGGGGAAAGAATGCCCCTGGGGAAAATGTTAGGTCTTTATTTTTATTAGGTGAATGCTCCTGGGGGGGGGGGCAGGTGGGTTTTCTATTAGGTAGAAATGTTTCCGGGGGGAATTGGCGGGTTTCTTTTATTCTATTGGGGTAAAATTTGGCCTTCCCTGGGGAGCTGGCAGGTCTTATTCTATTGGGGAAAATGCCCCGGGGGAAACTGGCGGGGGCTTTATTCTATTGGGTGAATGCTCCGGGGGAAAAAAGGGCCCGGGTCGTTTTCTATTAGGTGGGAATGCCCCGGGGAAACGGCAGGTCGTTTTTTTTAGGTGGGAATGCTCCGGGGGAGCGGGCCAGGTCGTTTTTTTTTAGGTTAAAATTTGCCCCGGGGGAAAACGGCAGGCGTTATTCTATTAGGTAAAAGCTCCTGGGGAACTGGCGGGTTTCTTTATTCAAATTAGGTTAAATGCCCCTTTGGGGAAAAACGGGCCCAGGTTTTTTATTCTATTGGGTTTAGATGCTTTTGGGGAAAGGCTGGGGGGGTCGTTTTTTAATTAGGTGGGGCTCCCTGGGGAACTGGCGGGTTGTTTTTTTCTATTGGGTTTGAATGCCCCTGGGGAACTGGCAGGTCGTTATTCAATTAGGTAGAATGCTCCTGGGGAACTGGCGGGTCGTTTTTTCTATTAGGCAAAAATGCTCCTGGGGAACGGGCCGGTTTTTTATTCTTTAGGTAAAAATGCTCCGGGGGAAAAATTTGGCAGGCGTTATTAATAGGTAGAATTCGCCTGGGGAACTGGAGGTCGTTTTTCTATTAGGAGAAGCTCCGGGGAACGGGGGGTCGTTTTTCTATTGGGTTTAGAATGTTTCCGGGGAAATGGCGGGTCGTTATTCTATTTGGTTAAAATGCTCCGGGGGAAAAACTGGGGGTCGTTATTCTATTGGGTTTAGAAGCTCCTGGGGAATGGAAAAGGTGTTTTTATTAGGTTAATTTGGTCCGGGGGAACTGGCAGGTCGTTTTTTTTTTCTATCGGTGGGGAATGCCCCCGGGGGGAAACCCTGGCGGGGCGTTTTTCATTAGGTTTTGAATGCTCCGGGGGAACGGGCGGGTTCGTTTTTCTATTGGGTAAAAATTGCCCCGGGGGAAAAGGGCCCGGGTTTTATTCTATTGGGTTTTAGAATGCCCCGGGGAGCTGGCGGGTTTTTTCGTTATTCTATGGTTTAGAATGGCTCCTGGGGGGAATGGCATGTCTTTTATTCTTTTAGGTAGAATGCCCTGGGGAGCGGGAGGTGTTATTCTATTGGGTAGAAAGGGCCCCCCGGGGGAAAAAGGTTAGGTCGTTTTTTTTTAGGTAGAATGCCCTGGGGGCTGGCGGGTTTCTTTCTTTGGTTAGAATGCCCCGGGGGGAATTGGAGGTTTGTTATTTTATTGGGTTGAATGTCCTGGGGAGCTGGCGGTCGTTTTTCTATTAGGAGAATGCTCCGGGGGAAAAACTGGCGGGTCGTATTCTATTATTTTTAGAATGCTCCTGGGGAAAACTGGCAGGTCGTTATTTATTTGGGTAGAATGCCCCGGGGAAAAACTGGCAGGTCGTTTATTCTATTTAGGTTAGAAGCCCCGGGGGAGCTGGAGGTCGTTTTTCATTGGGTTTAGAAGCCCCGGGGGAAAAACTGGCAGGTCGTTTTCTATTAGGTAAAATTGTTTCCGGGGGAAACCTGGCAGGTCGTTATTCTATTGGTGGGAATGCCCCGGGGGAAAAAGGGCCCGGGGTCGTTATTTTTTGGGTTTAGAATGCCCCGGGGGAAAACGGGCCCAGGTGTTATTTTTTGGGTTTTTAGAATGCCCCCGGGGGAAAAACTGGCGGGGTGGGTTTTTTCTATTGGGGTAGAATGTCCGGGGGGAACTGGAGGTCGTTTTTTTCTATTGGGTTTAGAAGCCCCTTTGGGGAAACTGGGGGTCGTTATTCAAATTGGGTTTAGAATGCCCCGGGGGAAAACTGGCAGGCGTTTTTTTAGGTGGAATGCTCCGGGGGGAACCCTGGCAGGTCGTTTTTCTATTGGGTAGAATGCTGGGGGGGAACTGGCGGGTTGTTATTCTTTTGGGGAGAATTCCGGGGAGCGGGGCAGGTCTTTTTTATTCAAATTAGGTAAATTTCTTGGGGAAATGGCAGGGCGTTTTTTTTCTTTTGGGGGTAGAATGCCCCGGGGAAACTTGGGGTGTTTTCTTTTAGGTAAAATGTCCTGGGGAGCTGGCAGGTCGTTTTTCTATTGGGTTTTGGGAATGCCCCTGGGGAACTTTAGGCCCTTTTATTCTATTGGGTTTAGGGGAATGCCCCTGGGGAGCGGGCCCGGGGGGGCGGTTTATTCTATTAGGAAAGAATGCCCTGGGGAATTGGCAGGTCGTTTTTCTTTTGGGTTTAAAAAGGGTCCGGGGGAAGGCTGGAAAGGTCGTTATTCTTTTAAAGGTAAAATTGCCCCGGGGGGACCGGGCCGGTCTTTTATTTATTAGGTAAAAATGCCCCTTTGGGGAAGGGGGCAGGTCGTTATTCTTTAGGTAGAATGTCCGGGGGAACCCTGGCAGGTCTTTAAATTCTATTAGGAGAAGCCCCCGGGGGAAAGGGCCCGGGTGTTTTTTTCCCTATTTGTCTTTTTTCAGAAGTTCTTCCATTGGGAGGAGTTTTTTCAATAAAACTGTCTGTTATTATCCAATACCAAAACCATGTGTAAAAATTTTTTTTGGGAGTGTGTGGGGTTTGTATTGTTTGATTGATTAATTGTTCCCCACCCACTACCCCGGAACTAGTGGGTTTGGGAAACAGGTATCAATTTTTTTTATTAAAACCCAGGTTTTTGAAGGTAGGGTTTTTAAAACCTACGGGTATGTATTTTCAAATTTTTTTACAAGAAAAGTTTTTTTAAAATATTTATATTATCTTTTAAAAATGTTTATAAAGGGGTTTAAAAAAGGGGTTGTGTCTTTAAACCCGGTTTTTCGGGGGCGGGAAACAAAGATAACGACAAAAAAAATTTTTTTTAAAGGGCCCAACCCCAAATAGCCCTTTTTACAAAATTGTGAGCCCAAAAAATTTCTGGACCCCACACCACGAAAAGAAAAGGGGCACCCCACACACAAAATCCCCAAAATAGTAACCCCCAGCCCCCCGTCCCCCCAAAAATTGAAAAACCCCCGACCCCGTCTCTCCCCCAACCCAAGTCCCCCCGGGACCCCATTTTCCCCTCACCAAAATAGAACCCCCCAAACCCCCCCGGGTCTCTAAAAAACTTTATTTAACCCCCAGACCCCATTTCTATCCCCAAAACATAGAAACCCCCAGACCCCAGTCTCTCACCAACATAGTAACCCCAGACCCCAGTCTCTCACCAACATAGTAACCCCAGACCCCAGTCTCTCAGTTCTAAAAGGGTTAAACACTCTGATGGCATTCATTGCACTGTCCAGGTGGAGGCTGGAGGGGAAACTGTGTGTGTGTGTGTGTGTGTGTGTGTGTGTGTGTGTGTACCCCACTCCTCTCCCTTGGCTCCCAAATGGCGGTGACCAGAAGACAATGTCTCTACTTCCTGTTGTTCAGAATTAATAATCATCTCTGTCCGTCTCCATGGAGATTTGCTCCTCCTGCAAGGCACAAGGAAGGGGTTACTCTGTCTTTTCAGCTTTCTCCTCTTTATTGAGCGGTTCGCTGTTTTTCCGGGCGGTTCCTGTCTTTTCCGTCTCCTGACCAGAGGTTTTCCCATGGTTCCCGGCGGCAGAATGTTTGTCCAGGAAGTTGAGCATCTCACTGAGAACAGTCTGGAAGGTGCTGAGAGCCGCGCACACTGCCGGAGTCCCGAACCCATGGGTGATGAGACTGGAGAATATACACACACATATAAATGCACACTATATATCCCTAACCACAGACATCAGTATTGGAGCTGGTTGAAGCACCGAGCTGTCTGTTTAAACTACTGGCACACAGCTCAGACACCCGTGCATACCCCACAAGACATGCCACCAGAGGTCTCTTCACAGTCCCCAAGTCCAGAACAGACTATAGGAGATGCACAGTACTACATAGAGCCATGACTACATGGAACTATTCCACATCAGGTAACTGACGCAAGCACTAGAATCAGATTATAAAAACAGATAAAAATACACCTTATGGAACAGCGGGAACTTTGAAGCAACACAAACATAGGCACAGACACATGCATACACACATGGTAATGTGGTCCTCTGTAGCTCAATTGGTAGAGCATGGCGCTTGTAACGCCAGGGTAGTGGGTTCGATCCCCGGGACCACCCATACGTAAAAATGTATGCACACATGACTGTAAGTCGCTTTGGATAAAAGCGTCTGCTAAATGGCATATTACATGATAACATACGCACTATACACACACGTACACATGGATTTTGTATTGTATATATGTGGTAGTGGAGTAGGGGCCTGAGGGCACACACTTAATATATTGTGAAATCTGTTGTTAAATGTATTGTAATGTTTTTAGAATTGTACAGCTGCTTTAATTTTGCCGGACCCCAGGAAGAGCAGCTGCTGCCTTGGCAGCTAATGGGGATCCATAATAAATACAAATGTTATTTGTCACGTGCTTGGTAAACAAAAGGTGTGGACTAACAGTGAAATACTTCCCAACAATGCAGAGGGAAAGAAAGTTGAGAAATAATAACAGGTAATAATAAAAGTAATAATAAATCCACAATGAGTAACGATAACGTGGCTATATACACGGGGTACCAGTACTGAGTCCATGTGTAGGGGTACCAGGTAATAACGTGGCTATATACACGGGGTACCAGTACTGAGTCCATGTGCAGGGGAACCAGGTAATAACGTGGCTATATACACGGGGTACCAGTACTGAGTCCATGTGTAGGGGTACCAGGTAATAACGTGGCTATATACACGGGGTACCAGTACTGAGTCCATGTGTAGGGGTACCAGGTAATAACGTGGCTATATACACGGTCTACCAGTACTGAGTCCATGTGTAGGGGTACAAGGTAATTGAGGTAAATATGTACATATAACTAGGACTAAAGTGACAGATAATAAACAGTAGCAGCGGCGTATGTGATGAGTTAAAAAAGTGAGTGTAAAAAGGGTCAATGCAGATAGTCCAGGTAGCTATTTGGTTAACTATTTTACTAACTATTTAGCAGTCTTTTGGCTTGGGGGTAGAAGCTGTTCAGGGTACTGTTGGTTCCAGACTTGGTGCATCAGTACCGCTTGCCGTGCGGTAGCAGAGAGAACAGTCTATGACTTGGGTAGCAGAGTGGCTTTGACCATTTTTAGGGCCTACCTCTGACACCGCCTGGTATAGAGGTCCTGGATGGCAGGAAGCTTGGCCCCACTGATGTACTGGGCAGTATGCAATACCCTCTGTAGTGCCTTTCGGCCGGAAAGATTGCCTGACACTAGCTAAAGTTGTACATATTGCGTATTACATTGTGTGTGTGTGTGTGTGTGTGTGTGTGTGTGTGTGTGTGTGTGTGTGTGTACCTGAAGTGTGTGAGGTGTCTCTGTATATCAAGGTCCAGTATAGGTGTGGGTCTGGAGGAGCCAAGAGGAGAACGGTCCTGACTCAACAGGTCCTGGAACTCCTTACAGATCTGCCTAAAGGTCACAGGGCACATATTAGAGGTTAGGGGTCAGAGGTTAAGGGTTCAGTGTGCGTGTGTGTGTGTGTGTGTGTGTGTGTGTGTGTGTGTGTGTGTGTGTGTGTGTGTGTGTGTGTGTGTGTGTGTGTGTGTGTGTGTGTGTGTGTGTGTGTGTGTACTGGTGTGTGTAATGGTGTGTGTGTTTCCGTGTGTGTAAGTGTGTGTGTGTGTGTCTGTGTTTGTGTAAGTGTGTCTGTGTGTGTGTCGTACTTGGTGGCCAGCACCATCTTCTTGCGAGCACTCGTCTCCTTGGGTTCGTTGTGTTGACTGGCTAGGTGTTCTCCTGCTGCCTTGGTAGGAAACTCTGTCTCACACGTATAACCAAAGTCTCTGGCCAGGTGGAGCGCCTCACCTACAAACACATACATTATATTAGGATAGAGGGATGAGTTTTATTAGAACGTGTAGCTTGATAGAGGGATGAGTTTTATTAGAAGGTGTAGATTGATAGAGGGATGAGTTTTATTAGAGGGTATTGATTGATAGAGGGATGAGTTTTATTGAAATGTGTAGCTTGATAGAGGGATGAGGTTTATTAGAAAGTGTAGCTTCATAGAGGGATGAGTTTTATTAGAGGGTGTAGCTTGATAGAGGGATGAGTTTTATTAGAAGGTGTAGCTTCATAGAGGGATGATATTTATTAGAGGGTGAACATTGATAAAGGGATGAGTTTTATTAGAAGGTGTAGATTGATAGAGGGATGAGTTTTATTAGAAGGTGTAGATTGATTGAGAGATTAGTTTTACTAGAAGGTGTAGATTGATAGAGGGATGAGTTTTACTACAATGTGTAGATTGATAGAGGGATGTGTTCTATTAGAAGGTGTAGATTGATAGAGGGATGACTTTTATTAGAGGGTGTACATTGAAAAGGGATGAGTTTTATTAGAAGGTGTAGATTGATAGAGGGATGAGTTTTATTAGAAGGTGTAGATTGATAGAGAGATTAGTTTTACTAGAAGGTGTAGATTGATAGAGGGATGAGTTTTACTACAATGTGTAGATTGATAGAGGGATGTGTTCTATTAGAAGGTGTAGATTGATAGAGGGATGAGTGTTATTAGAAGGTGTAGCTTGATAGAGGGATGAGTTTTATTAGAAGGTGTAGCTTGATAGAGGGATGAGTTTTAGTAGAGGGTGTAGATTGATAGAGGGATGAGTTTTATTAGAAGGTGTAGATTGATAGAGGGATGAGTTTTACTACAATGCATAGATTGATAGAGGGATGAGTTGTATTAGAAGGTGTAGATTGATTGAGAGATGAGTTTTACTAGAAGGTGTAGATTGATAGAGGGATGAGTTTTATTAGAAAGTGTAGATTGATAGAGGGATGTGTTTTATTAGAAGGTGTAGATTGATAAAGGGATGAGTTTTATTAGAAGGTGTAGATTGATAGAGGGATGTGTTTTATTAGAAAGTGTAGCTTGATAGAGGGATGAGTTATATTAGAAGGTGTAGCTTGATAGAGGGATGAGTTTTATTAGAGGGTGTAGATTGATAGAGGGATGAGTTTTATTAGAAGGTGTAGATTAATAAAGGGATGAGTTTTATCAGAAGGTTTAGATTGATAGAGGGATGAGTTGCATTAGAAAGTGTAGATTGATAGAGGGATGGGTTTTATTGGAGGGTGTAGATTGATATAGGGATGAGTTTTAATAGAAGGTGTAGATTGATAGAGGGATGTGTTTTTTTAAAGGTGTATATTGATAGAGGGATGAGTTTTACTAGAATGTGTAGATTGATAGAGGGATGACTTTTATTAGAATGCGTAGATTGATAGAGGGATGAGTTTTACTAGACAGTGTAGACATATAGAGGGATGAGTTTTATTAGAAAGTGTAAATTGAGAGAGGTATGAGTTTTATTAGGAGGTGGAGATTGATAGAGGGATGACTTTTATTAGAAGGGGTAGATTGAAAGAGGGATGAGTTTTATTAGAAGTTGTAGATTGATTGAGAGATGAGTTTTACTAGAAGGTGTAGATTGATAGAGGGATGAGTTTTACTACAATGTGTAGATTGATAGAGGGATGTGTTCTATTAGAAGGTGTAGATTGATAGAGGGATGACTTTTATTAGAGGGTGTACATTGAAAAGGGATGAGTTTTATTAGAAGGTGTAGATTGATAGAGGGATGAGTGTTATTAGAAGGTGTAGCTTGATAGAGGGATGAGTTTTATTAGAAGGTGTAGCTTGATAGAGGGATGAGTTTTAGTAGAGGGTGTAGATTGATAGAGGGATGAGTTTTATTAGAAGGTGTAGATTGATAGAGGGATGAGTTTTACTAGAAGGTGTAGATTGATAGAGGGATGAGTTTTATTAGAAGGTGTAGATTGATAGAGGGATGAGTTTTATTAGAAGGTGTAGATTGATTGAGAGATGAGTTTTACTAGAAGGTGTAGATTGATAGAGGGATGAGTTTTATTAGAAAGTGTAGATTGATAGAGGGATGTGTTTTATTAGAAGGTGTAGATTGATAAAGGGATGAGTTTTGTTAGAAGGTGTAGATTGATAGAGGGATGTGTTTTATTAGAAGGTGTAGATTGATAGAGGGATGAGTTTTATTAGAAGGTGTAGATTGATAGAGGGATGACTTTTATTAGAGGGTGTACATTGAAAATGGATGAGTTTTATTAGAAGGTGTAGATTGATAGAGGGATGAGTTTTATTAGAAGGTGTAGATTGATAGAGGGATGAGTTTTATTAGAAGGTGTAGATTGATAGAGTGATGAATATTATTAGAAAGTGTAGCGTGATAGAGGGATGAGTTATATTAGAAGGTGTAGCTTGATAGAGGGATGAGTTTTATTAGAGGGTGTAGATTGATAGAGGGATGAGTTTTATTAGAAGGTGTAGATTAATAAAGGGATGGGTTTTATTGGAGGGTGTAGATTGATATAGGGATGAGTTTTAATAGAAGGTGTAGATTGATAGAGGGATGTGTTTTTTTAAAGGTGTATATTGATAGAGGGATGAGTTTTACTAGAATGTGTAGATTGATAGAGGGATGACTTTTATTAGAATGCGTAGATTGATAGAGGGATGAGTTTTACTAGACAGTGTAGACATATAGAGGGATGAGTTTTATTAGAAAGTGTAAATTGAGAGAGGTATGAGTTTTATTAGGAGGTGGAGATTGATAGAGGGATGACTTTTATTAGAAGGTGTAGATTGATAGAGGGATGAGTTTTACTAGAATGTGTAGATAGATAGAGGGATGAGTTTTATTAGAAGGTGTAGATTGATAGAGGGATGAGTTTTATTAGAAAGTGTGGATTGATAGAGGGATGAGTTTTATTAGAAGGTGTAGATTGATAGAGGGATGAGTTTTACTAGATAGTGTAGATATATAGAGGGATGAGTTTTATTAGAAAGTGTGGATTGAGAGAGGGATGAGTTTTATTAGAAGGTGTAGATTGATAGAGGGATGAGTTTTATTAGAAGTTGTAGATTGATTGAGAGATGAGTTTTACTACAATGTGTAGATTGATAGAGGGATGTGTTCTATTAGAAGGTGTAGATTGATAGAGGGATGACTTTTATTAGAGGGTGTACATTGAAAAGGGATGAGTTTTATTAGAAGGTGTAGATTGATAGAGGGATGAGTGTTATTAGAAGGTGTAGCTTGATAGAGGGATGAGTTTTATTAGAAGGTGTAGCTTGATAGAGGGATGAGTTTTAGTAGAGGGTGTAGATTGATAGAGGGATGAGTTTTATTAGAAGGTGTAGATTGATAGAGAGATGAGTTTTACTAGAAGGTGTAGATTGATAGAGGGATGAGTTTTACTACAATGTATAGATTGATAGAGGGATGAGTTTTATTAGAAGGTGTAGATTGATTGAGAGATGAGTTTTACTAGAAGGTGTAGATTGATAGAGGGATGAGTTTTATTAGAAAGTGTAGATTGATAGAGGGATGTGTTTTATTAGAAGGTGTAGATTGATAAAGGGATGAGTTTTGTTAGAAGGTGTAGATTGATAGAGGGATGTGTTTTATTAGAAGGTGTAGATTGATAGAGGGATGTGTTTTATTAGAAGGTGTAGATTGATAGAGGGATGACTTTTATTAGAGGGTGTACATTGAAAATGGATGAGTTTTATTAGAAGGTGTAGATTGATAGAGGGATGAGTTTTATTAGAAGGTGTAGATTGATAGAGGGATGAGTTTTATTAGAAGGTGTAGATTGATAGAGGGATGACTTTTATTAGAAAGTGTAGCTTGATAGAGGGATGAGTTTTACTAGAAGGGGTAAATTGATAGAGGGATGAGTTTTATTAGAAGGTGTAGATTGATAGAGGAATGATATTTATTAGGAGGTGGAGATTGATAGAGGGATGACTTTTATTAGAAAGTGTAGCTTGATAGAGGGATGAGTTTTATTAGAGGGTGTAGATTGATAGAGGGATGAGTTTTATTAGAAGGTGTAGATTAATAAAGGGATGGGTTTTATTGGAGGGTGTAGATTGATATAGGGATGAGTTTTAATAGAAGGTGTAGATTGATAGAGGGATGTGTTTTTTTAAAGGTGTATATTGATAGAGGGATGAGTTTTACTAGAATGTGTAGATTGATAGAGGGATGACTTTTATTAGAATGCGTAGATTGATAGAGGGATGAGTTTTACTAGACAGTGTAGATATATAGAGGGATGAGTTTTATTAGAAAGTGTAAATTGAGAGAGGTATGAGTTTTATTAGGAGGTGGAGATTGATAGAGGGATGACTTTTATTAGAAGGGGTAGATTGATAGAGGGATGACTTTTATTAGAAGGTGTAGATTGATAGAGGGATGAGTTTTAAAAGAGGGTGTACATTGATAGAGGGATGAGTTTTATTAGAGAGTGTGTAGATTAATAGAGGGATGACTTTTATTAGAAGGTGTAGATTGACAGAGGATGAGTTGTATTAGAAGGTGTAGATTGATAGAGGGATGAGTTTTATTAGAAGTTGTAGATTGATAGAGGGATGAGTTTTAGTAGAAAGTGTGGATTGATAAAGGGATGAGTTTTATTAGGAGGTGTAGATTGATAGAGGGATGAGTTTTACTAGAGAGTGTAGATATATAGAGGGATGAGTTTTATTAGAATTGTAGATTGATAGAGGGATGACTTTTATTAAAATACCTAGATTGATAGAGGGATGAGTTTTATTAGAAAGTGTGGATGGATAGAGGGATGAGTTTTATTAGAATGTGTAGATTGAAAGAGGGATGAGTTTTATTAGAAAGTGTGGATTGATAGAGGGATGAGTTTTATTAGAAGATGTAGATTGAAAGAGGGATGAGTTTTACTAGACAGTGTAGATATATAGAGGGATGAGTTCTATTAGAAGGTGTGGATTGAAAGAGGGATGCATTTTATTAGAAGTTGTAGATTGATAGAGGGATACGTTTTATTAGAAGGTGTAGATTGATAGAGGGATGAGTTTTATTAGTTAGAAGGTGTAGATTGATAGAGGGATGAGTTGTATTAGAAGGTGTAGATTGATAGAGGGGTGAGTTTTACTAGAGAGTGTAGATAAATAGATGGGTGAGTTTTATTAGAATGTGTAGATTGATAGAGGGATGACTTTTTTTTAGAATACATATATTGATAGAGGGATGAGTTTTATTAGAAAGTGTAGATTGATAGATGGATGAGTTTTATTAGAATGTGTAGATTGATAGAGGAATGAGTTTTATTAGAAGTTGTAGATTGATAGAGGGATTAGTTTTACTAGAATGTGTAGATTGATAGAGGGATACGTTTTATTAGAAGGTGTAGATTGATAGAGGGATGAGTTTTATTAGAGGGTGTACATTGATAGAGGGATGAGTTTTATTAGAAAGTGTGGATTGATAGAGGGATGAGTTTTATTAGAAGGTGTACATTGATAGAGGGATGAGTTTTATTAGAGAGTGTGTAGATTGATAGAGGGATGAGTTTTATTAGAAAGTGTGGATTAATAGAGGGATGAGTTTTATTAGAGAGTGTGTAGATTAATAGAGGGATGAGTTTTATTAGAAGGTGTAGATTGATAGAGGGATGAGTTTTATTAGAAGGTGTAGATTGATAGAGGGATGAGTTTTATTAGAAGGTGTAGATTGATAGAGGGATGAGTTTTATTAGAAGGTGTAGATTGATAGAGGGATGAGTTTTATTTGGTGTAGATTGATAGAGGGATACGTTTTATTAAAAGGTGTAGATTGATAGAGGGATGAGTTTTATTAGAAGTTGTAGATTGATAGAGGGATGAGTTTTATTAGAAAGTGTGGATTGATAGAGGGATGAGTTTTATTAGAAAGTGTGGATTGATAGAGGGATACGTTTCATTAGAAGGTGTATATTTATAGAGGGATGAGTTTTATTAGAAGTTGTAGATTGATAGAGGGATGGGTTTTATTAGAGGGTATAGATTGATAGAGGGATGAGTTTTATTAGAAAGTGTGGATTGATAGAGGGATGAGTTTTATTAGAAGGTGTAGATTGATAGAGGGATGAGTTTTATTAGAAAGTGTAGATTGATAGAGGGATGTGTTTTAAAAGAGGGTGTACATTGATAGAGGGATGAGTTTTATTAGAGAGTGTGTAGATCGATAGAGGGATGAGTTTTATTAGAAGTTGTAGATTGATAGAGGGATGGGTTTTATTAGAGGGTATAGATTGATAGAGGGATGAGTTTTATTAGAAAGTGTAGATTGATAGAGGGATGAGTTTTATTAGAAAGTGTAGATTGATAGAGGGATGTGTTTTTTTCAAGGTGTAGATTGATAGAGGGATGAGTTTTATTAGAGGGTATAGATTGATAGAGGGATGAGTTTTATTAGAAGGTGTAGATTGATAGAGGGATGAGTTTTAAAAGAGGGTGTACATTGATAGAGGGATGAGTTTTATTAGAGAGTGTGTAGATTGATAGAGGGATGAGTTTTATTAGAAGGTGTAGATTGACAGAGGATGAGTTGTATTATAAGATGTAGATTGATAGAGGGATGAGTTTTATTAGGAGGTGTAGATTGATAGAGGGATGAGTTTTACTAGAATGTGTAGATTGATAGAGGGATGAGTTTTATTAGAAGGTGTAGATTGATAGGGGGATGAGTTTTATTAGAAGGTGTAGATTGATAGAGGGATGAGTTTTATTAGAAGGTGTAGATTGATAGAGGGATGAGTTTTATTTGACAGTGTAGATTGATAGAGGGATGAGTTTTATTAGAAAGTGTGGATTGATAGAGGGATGAGTTTTATTAGAGAGTGTGTAGATTGATAGAGGGATGTGTTTTATTAGAAGGTGTAGATTGATAGAGGGATGAGTTTTATTAGAAGTTGTAGATTGATAGAGGGATGAGTTTTAGTAGAAAGTGTGGATTGATAGAGGGATGAGTTTTATTAGGAGGTGTAGATTGATAGAGGAATGAGTTTTATTAGAAGGTGTAGATTGATAGAGGGATGAGATTTATTAGACAGTGTGGATTGATAGAGGGATGAGTTTTATTAGAGAGTGTGTAGATTGATAGAGGGATGAGTTTTATTAGAAGGTGTAGATTGATAGAGGGATGAGTTTTATTAGAAGGTGTAGATATATAGAGGGATGAGTTTTATTAGAAGGTGTAGATTGATAGAGGGATGAGTTGTATTAGAAGGTGTAGATTGATAGAGGGATGAGTTTTATTAGGTGTAGATTGATAGAGGGATGAGTTTTACTAGAAGAGGTAGATTGATGGAGGGATGAGTTTTACTAGAAGGTGTATATTGATAGAGGGATGACTTGTATTAGAATGCGTAGATTGATAGAGGGATGAGTTTTATTAGAAAGTGTGGATTGATAGAGGGATGACTTTTATTAGAAGTTGTAGATTGATAGATGGATGAGTTTTACTAGAAAGTGTAGATTGATAGAGGGATGAGTTTTATTAGGAGGTGTAGATTGATAGAGGGATGAGTTTTACTAGAGAGTGTAGATATATAGAGGGATGACTTTTATTAGAAGGTGTAGATTGATAGAGGGATGAGTTTTAATAGAGGGTGTACATTGATAAGGGGGTTGAGTTTTATTAGAGAGTGTGTAGATTGATAGAGGGATGAGTTTTATTAGAAGGTGTAGATTGACAGAGGATGAGTTGTATTAGAAGGTGTAGATTGATAGAGGGATGAGTTTTATTAGAAGTTGTAGATTGATAGAGGGATGAGTGTTATTAGAAAGTGTGGATTGATAGAGGGATGAGTTTTATTAGAAGGTGTAGATTGATAGAGGGATGAGTGTTATTAGTAGTTGTAGATTGATAGAGGGATGAGTGTTATTAGAAGGTGTAGATTGATAGAGGGATGAGTTTTATTAGAAGGTGGAGATTGATAGAGGGATGAGTTTTATTAGAGAGTGTGTAGATTGATAGAGGGATGAGTTTTATTAGAAAGTGTGGATTGATAGAGGGATGAGTTTTATTAGAGTGTGTAGATTGATAGAGGGATGAGTTTTATTAGAAGGTGTAGATTGATAGAGGGATGAGTTTTACTAGAAGGGGTAGATTGATTGAGGGATGGGTTTTACTAGAAGGTGTAGATTGATAGAGGGATGAGTTTTACTAGAATGTGTAGATTGATAGAGGGATGAGTTTTATTAATAGGTGTAGAATGATAGAGGGATGATTTTTATTAGAAGGTGTAGATTGATAGAGGGATGAGTTATTAGAAGTTGTAGATTGATAGAGGGATGAGTTTTATTAGAAGGTGTAGATTGATAGAGGGATGAGTTTTATTAGAACGTGTGGATTGATAGAGGGATGAGTTTTATTAGAAGGTGTAGCTTGATAGAGGGATGAATTTTATTAGAAGGTGTAGATTGATAGAGGGATGAGTTTCATTTGGAGGTGTAGATTGATAGAGGGATGAGTTTTATAAGAAGGTGTAGATTGAGAGAGGGATGAGTTTTATTAGGAGGTGTAGATTGATAGAGGGATGAGTTATTCCTACCTTCCACCAGAGAGGTGAGGAGTGTAACGTTGGCAGCTTTTCTCCGACCAGCTGGCAGGTTGAGTCCCAGTCGATCCAACTTCTCTCTCAGACAACGTCCACCGTTCTTAGACTTAGCTCTGCATTAAAAGACATGAGCACATCATCGTCAAATCAATACCAAAAACGTATCAACCCCTATAAAACATTTCCATTAATTATAATCCACGTAATAATTCCCATTTCCTGTTGCTGCAGAATTATTTTTCTGCTGTGAGAAACTATCTGTTTTGCAATGTATTACTCCCCATTATTGCATCTCTATCAATAAAATAAATGATCACGCAAAAACATTTAATTTGAGTCTTTTAAAATTACATAAATGTTTAGCTTCGAAATGTGTAAAACGATTGTGTGTGCGTTTGTGTGTGCGTTTGTGTGTGCGTTTGTGTGTGCGTTTGTGTGTGTGTGTGTGTGTGTTTGTGTGTGTGTGTGTGTGTGTGTGTGTGTGTGTGTGTGTGTGTGTGTGTGTGTGTGTGTGTGTGTGTGTGTGTGTGTGTGTGTGTGTGTGTGTGTGTGTGTGTGTGTGTGTGTGTGTGTGTGTACCTGCGGAGGATTCCTCCCAGTAGTGAGGCGTTGAGACACTCTGGAGGTGAGAGGCGTCTCTTCACCTCAGCGATGGTGACTTTATATTTAGAGGTTGAGCTGAGGAGAGACAGACGGCCGGGGACAGAGCAGAACAGATCTGTGGGGTTCACCACACAGGTACCTCCTAGACACAACACAGTAACAAATGTTAAATAAACACTAGTAACATCTAGCGATCACCACACAGGTACCTCCTAGACACAACACAGTAACACAACAAATAAACGTGTGCGTGTGCGTATGTGTGTGTGTGTGTGAGTGTGATAGTCGTGTGTGAAGTCCAGATGTGTGACAGTTTCCTGCCTTGCCTGTCAGTCAGACTCACGTCTCTGAAAGCTGTGAGTTCACATCATATTAATTCCTCCAAAAATGTTTTGAATCAAAGTATTATGTATTTTATGTTGCCACGGGCAATGGAAAAAGAGCTATTGCCGGTAGTGCGGTGGAGCACGTGGGCCCAGAGGCGATAGCTCTATTTAAGCAGTGGAGAGTAGCCTCGGGCGGCGGCGCGAGCAGCGGCGGAATCATACGCGGAATCAAGCGCTTTTACACGTTTGCCACGAAAATTAAAGAAAAAGAGACACGGGCCAAATGTAATTCTCCTCCTATTTTAACCACAATGTTTATAGCACCTGTCACAAGACAGCACAGCCCACACAAACCCAGCAGCCGTCTGAGCGAGGGCGTGTGCACGTAGAGGGCACAAGTCTGGTGATAAGCTTGATCAGATGCTGAAAGCTTGGTGGGATACTAGTGATTAGAACACAGACACTGCTCTAAGTAGGAGCCGCGTTTCTGGAGACATTTCTTTTGAAAAAGGTTGTGTGAATATTCATGGCGCCAAAGCCGCCGTCAGAAAGAACAACATTAATATGATCTCAGCTGAATTCGGGCCTCGCAGCATTAGCATATCAAAGCTGACGCCCGAGGCGAGAGAAGCTATCGATACCGGAGCGCGAGGTAAAGCAAAGATTATTGGTTGTGATGGTTGGAGAAGAGGAGCTCGCGGCTAAATCCTGCACACCATTAACCGAAAGTGAAAGCGGAGGGATTCCCGCATCAGTCCTCCAGAAAACTCCAAAACCCAACACCAAGACAGATTAACTCACACACACCTGCACAGTTTATTCAACGTTAACTACTAGACACAGGCTGCTTGATGGAAAATTACACGTGTGTGTATAGCTCGAGAAACTTGTTTGATAGATCACAGCAACAGAGAGTGATAAGGTAATGATACTATTACAGCAACAGAGAGTGATAAGGTAATGATACTATCACAGCAACAGAGAGTGATAAGGTATTGATACTATCACAGCAACAGAGAGTGATAAGGTAATGATACTATTACAGCAACAGAGAGTGATAAGGTAATGATACTATCACAGCAACAGAGAGTGATAAGGTAATGATACTATCACAGCAACAGAGAGTGGTAAGGTAATGATACTATCACAGCAACAGAGAGTGATAAGGTAAACATACTATTACAGCAACAGAGAGTGAAAAGGTATTATTATATTAAAAAAGGTAAACATACTATCACAGCAACAGAGAGTGATAAGGTAATGATACTATCACAGCAACAGAGAGTGGTAAGGTAATGATACTATTACAGCAACAGAGAGTGATAAGGTAAACATACTATTACAGCAAAAGAGAGTGAAAAGGTAAACATACTATCACAGCAACAGAGAGTGATACGGTAATGATACTATCACAGCAACAGAGAGTGATAAGGTAATGATACTATCACAGCAACAGATAGTGATAAGGTAATGATACTATTACAGCAACAGAGAGTGATAAGGTAAACATACTATTACAGCAACAGAGAGTGAAAAAGGTATTATTATATTTAAAAAGGTAAACATACTATCACAGCAACAGAGAGTGATAAGGTAATGATACTATCACTGCAACAGAGAGTGATAAGGTAATGATACTATCACAGCAACAGATAGTGATAAGGTAATGATACTATCACAGCAACAGATAGTGATAAGGTAATGATACTATTACAGCAACAGAGAGTGATAAGGTAAACATACTATTACAGCAACAGAGAGTGAAAGGTAAACATACTATCACAGCAACAGAGAGTGATAAGGTAATGATACTATCACAGCAACAGAGAGTGATAAGGTAATGATACTATCACAGCAACAGATAGTGATAAGGTAATGATACTATCACAGCAACAGAGAGTGATAAGGTAATGATACTATCACAGCAACAGAGAGTGATAAGGTAAACATACTATCACGGCAACAGAGAGTGATAAGGTAAAGACACTATTACAGCAACAGAGAGTGATAAGGTAAACATACTATTACAGCAACAGAGAGTGAAAAGGTATTATTATATTAAAAAAGGTAAACATACTATCACAGCAACAGAGAGTGATAAGGTAATGATACTATCACTGCAACAGAGAGTGATAAGGTAATGATACTATCACAGCAACAGATAGTGATAAGGTAATGATACTATCACAGCAACAGATAGTGATAAGGTAATGATACTATCACAGCAACAGAGAGTGATAAGGTAATGATACTATCACAGCAACAGAGAGTGATAAGGTAAACATACTATCACAGCAACAGGGAGTGATAAGGTAAACATACTATCACAGCAACAGAGAGTGATAAGGTAAACATACTATCACAGCAACAGAGAGTGATAAGGTAAAGATACTATTACAGCAACAGAGAGTGATAAGGTAAACATACTATTACAGCAACAGATAACAGGTAAAATAGCGGAAAGCAGGTAGCTCTTTGTTCTCCACACAGAGCTGGAGCTAAAAGGTTTTTATCTGTATCTTTTTTACCACACAAACACCTGGAAAAGTCTGGTTTCAACAGACTATTGGATTCAAATCAGAGTGAATGATCTCTTTCTACACCATTAGGCTATATTTCATTATACAGTTCATTTGTCAACAATAACAAATAATAAAAACAGTCATAAGGTCTTTACTAATGACATCAAAACATCCTCCAGTTATTACTGTGAAGACCAACACAATGAAATTATTATTTGTTGATCTTGCTGAAGGCATAGCACAACTATAGATTTTCTCAGAATCATATTATTTTACATTTTTTAAAATAATTTCTTGACATTTAGCAGACGCTCTTATCCAGAGTCACTTACAGTTTGTGCATACATTATTTTTTTAATTTTTCATACTGGCCCCCCTTGGGAATCGAACCCACAACCCTGGCGTTACCAACAGAGCTACATCCCTGCAGGCCATTCCCTCCCCTACCCTGGACGACGATGGGCCGGCTACGACAGAGCCTGGATTCGAACCAGGATCTTGGATTCGAACCAGCCTTAGACCACTGCGCCACTCAGGAGAGTATTATTATTATATTTATTCTGTCTGCTCTAGAGCGTAAACTATTTAAGCAATTAACACGAAACCAATATCCAAATATCCAGACTGCCCCAATTTAGATTGATTGAGAAAATGTTTTTGATAGCTTTCAAACTTAGTGAGCAGGTTGATGTTTATTGTCATGAGTCTTGTCCTGGGGGCAGAACTGAGCGATTTCCCCTTAGATAGGCCAGTTACAAAGTCAACATTGGCGGTAGGCTATTGGATAAATGTATGAAAACAAAACATTTTGGTCTTAATTTAAGTTTAGGATTAGGCATTAGGGTTAGCAGTGTGGTTATGGTTAGGGTTAGGGTTAGGGTTAGGGTTAGGGTTAGGGTTAGGGTTAGGGTTAGGGTTAGGGTTAGTTTCTAAATCTGATCGTATGAGCTGGGTTATGGTTAGGGTTAGGGTTAGTTTCTAAATCTGATCGTATGAGCTGTCAACAACAACATTTTTATACCGATTTTTTTATACTATTTATACTTTTTGTATAAATGAACAAGGGTTTAAATAAAAACCACAGGAATACAGAGGTAGCAATTCAAAATGGTCCTGCTCCTTGGCCGGTTAGGGTTAGGGTTAGGGTTAGGGTTAGGGTTAGGGTTACAGGAATACAGAGGTAGCAATTCAAAATGGTCCTGCTCCTTGGCCGGTTAGGGTTAGGGTTAGGGTTAGGGTTAGGGTTAGGGTTAGGGTTAGCTACAAGACCAAAGATAAAACATTCAAGCTATTCTAAATTCACATTCTTAAAAACTTTTTTCAACTTATAACTATGTACTGTATATTTTTGCAAAAATGTGCATGAAATAACTCACTAACAGTAACTCTTGAACCGTTCAAGCTAGAGACACCAAACCAACTTTCACTTGTTCAGGCTACCCTAACTTCACATTCTTTAAAACTTTGATAAACTATAAACAGAGGTAATTAGCATAAATTAGCACAACATTTCATGGATACAATGCCAAAAATAGACATTTTAAATGCATTTACAGAAGCAATTAGGGTTACGTTCCTTGCTCAAGGGCACATCAACAGATGTTCCACCTAGTCAGCTCGGGATTCAAACCAGCGAACTTTTGGTTTAGTGGCCCAACCCTCTTAACGGTGGGCAACCTGCCATCCCATAAATAGTAGCAAGGTCACCACATTTTCTTCAGGATTTTTATTTTTTTTATTTTTTTTGTTACTTTTCTAGCTATTATTATTACTGTTATTATTATTATTACTATTTTGTACTGTCATTACAACTGTAATTATTAATATTAAGCTACTATAACTGTTATTGTTATTATTCATGTTATTGTTTCTTGTTGTTGTCGTTGTTGTTAGGCAATATGATTTTTAATTTATTATTTTCATTTTTACTTTTCATAATAGAGTTCGTTTGAGAATGACTGATCAGAGTGAAAGGATGATGCACTCTCTATTCTACAATGGAAGTTGATAGTGTCAAGTAAACCAGCTTCAGGCAGAGTAGTAGAATTGTCTGGATTGAAGTGAAAGTATACATCATGTCCGGACATTTCACTTACTAATTTAACAACTTTAAAAAACAAACTGACAGAAACATTTAAAAATAGTACCGTGGTGTGTCATAAAATTGGCTAATTCAACTAAAATATATTTTCACTTGATTTAGATAATGCTTCCATCTTGTCTTTTCGATTCTTCAGTTGACCAGACAGAGAAGGAGATGGGGTATTCATGTTAATGTGTGTTTAAAGTGTGTCTTACCTCTTCGGATGACGCCACCTTGGCCATTGAGCATGAGCCCGCACTGCGCCTCCACGGAGCCCTGAAACGGTGTCACATTATTCATAATAATAACAGCAACAATAAGAATAAGAACACGTTTATTAATAATAGCAATAATAATAATACATTTGTATTAATAATAATAATAATAATAATAATAATGCATTAATAAGGTCCAAAGAGAAACGATCAAGAATGAGAATCAAGAAACACACAAATGCAGCTCGGCACAATGCGTCAACCTCCGGATGGGCGAGAACGCTGATATCTGCACCTACCTGTTGTTACCGCTTATAACCAATCATAACCACAAATGTGGCAGCATGTGGAACCTGTTAAAAATGGCCGCGTGCAGAGCCTGGTATCAGTGATGGCATCAAAATGACTGAGGAACACGGGCTCTTATTGAAAAGGAGCCGGTTAATCCCCGGTGTGAGCCGCGAGGCGGCCGGGCACAGACACAACCCTGATTAAAATAAAACACTCCGCTGTCTATCTCGCGCCACATGGAACAGGCCGTGTTAGTCTTTTTAACAAACTCTGTCTGTATAGTATCTTTTTACTCCGAAGCTAAAGTGATTATAAAATCAATATACAAAACGCAGAGGTCTTGCATATATTAAGTGTCTAACAGGAGAAAGGGTTAGGGTTAGGCAGGCTGACGGGGGAAAGGTGTGGCAGCTCTTTTGTGGAGCATGAAAATCTCTTTACCCGCTCAAACATGCGATGTCTGTTTCTGCACGCGCTGGATCAGACCGCATCTGTTCTACTCAGGTTCACGTGCCTTTTATTTCTAAAGAAGGTCGAAGACCTATTCTGTGTGTGTGAGCCCCCTTGCTCGGTCGTGTGTGAGTGTGTGAGCCCCCTTTCTCGGTCGTGTGTGAGTGTGTGAGCCCCCTTTCTCGGTCGTGTGTGTGTGTGTGTGTGTGTGTGTGTGCGTGCCTGTGTGTGCGTGTGTGGCCCTCTACCCTTCCTACCAACACACCACTCACAGATCTGATAACAATCTACATAATGAAAGTGGTAAAGATGGTGACATATTGAAATATATTAACATCTAAATAAAAACAATATTCTTATAATCAGAATCAGAATATCAGTTATCCTCATCACCATCAACCATAATAGCCTAAATAAGAAAATATTCACAACAGAAAGAACAATATGGTAGGCTATTGGTTCTAGAACACCATCCCCATTATCAGTATTATTATTATTATTACTATTATTATTATTATTATTATTATTATAGATCGTACCAGGATACTAATTTACTATGCCATGCTACGCTATGTTATTCATATTATTATTCAACAAGTTATCATATATCCCTATCTTACTATTATGAATGAAGTAGTTATCATATAAACCTTTATTAATATTATTAATGAAGTAGTTATCATATAGACCTAGCCTATATTAATATTATTAATGAAGTAGTTATCATATAGACCTAGCCTATATTAATATTATTCATAAAGTAGTTATCTATAGACCTATATTAATATTAATGAACTAGTTATCATATAATCCTATATTTATATGAATCAAGTAATCAGATAAATCTATATTGTTATCAGTTGATCTGCCTTGAGCAAGGAATTTAACCCTAATTTGCTCCTGTAAAACAACACATTACACTGCACCTATCGTAGTACTATGACTGACCCTGTAAAACAACACATTACACTGCACCTATCGTAGTACTATGACTGACCCTGTAAAACAACACATTACACTGCACCTATCGTAGTACTATGACTGACCCTGTAAAACAACATATTACACTGCACCTATCGTAGTACTATGACTGACCCTGTAAAACAACACATTACACTGGATCTATCATACTGCTATTACTGACCCTGTAAAACAACACATTACACTGGATCTATCATACTGCTATTACTGACCCTGTAAAACAACACATTACACTGGATCTATCATACTGCTATTACTGACCCTGTAAAACAACACATTACACTGGATCTATCATACTGCTATTACGGACCCTGTAAAACAACACATTACACTGGATCTATCATACTGCTATTACTGACCCTGTAAAACAACACATTACACTGGATCTATCATACTGCTATTACGGACCCTGTAAAACAACACATTACACTGGATCTATCATACTGCTATTACGGACCCTGTAAAACAACACATTACACTGGATCTATCATACTGCTATTACTGACCCTGTAAAACAACACATTACACTGGATCTATCATACTGCTATTACGGACCCTGTAAAACAACACATTACACTGGTCTATCATACTGCTATTACTGACCCTGTAAAACAACAAATTACACTGGATCTATCATACTGCTATTACGGACCCTGTAAAACAACACATTACACTGGATCTATCATACTGCTATTACTGACCCTGTAAAACAACACATTACACTGGATCTATCATACTGCTATTACTGACCCTGTAAAACAACACATTACACTGGATCTATCATACTGCTATTACTGACCCTGTAAAACAACACATTACACTGGTCTATCATACTGCTATTACTGACCCTGTAAAACAACGCATTAGACCTATCAGGTGTTTGTGACAATAACACATTTGTTATATTATTTACAAAAACAAATATTATTAATAATATGTTAACCCTATATTAATATTATGAATCAAGTAGTTATCATTTAAACCTATATTAATAGTATTAATCAATTTATTATCATTTAAACCTATATTAATAGTATTAATCCATTTGTTATCATTTAAACCTATATTAATATTATGAATCAAGTAGTTATCATTTAAACCTATATTAATAGTATTAATCAATTTGTTATAATTTAAACCTATAGTAATATTACTTACAAGTGCATTAATTATAAAATAGCTCTATATTAATATATATCTAGGCCTACCAGTTGAATCACTTCTAGTATCCTAGTAGTTTGGTTGTACAGTTGAAAAAGGAATATTTCAATAAAGGAATGATCTTTCTGTCCCGTGCAGCGTGTTTAACCGGAGATGTTTCTGTCCCGTGCTGCATGTGTTTAACCGGAGCCGCGGCTCAGATGTTGTGGAAGAAAGAACCGGTTGATTGACATTAAGTCGGTAATTGGATAAACTACGGTGCTTTATGGCGCTAGAGCGGCCCATTGTGCCGCGAACCCGGATCCCTTAATCCGCCTTTCAGAGGAGAAGAGAGAAACAGCGGCTTCACACAGCCTCACCAGCCGGACACACACACACACACACACACACACACACACACACACACACACACACACACACCACACACACACACACACACACACACACACACACACACAATTTATTTACATCTAAAAGAATAGTTAAAATATATGTCACGTGCATTTGGAGTAAAATAAAGGGTGGAGTGCATAATGGAAGTGGATTTCTCAGATTAACTGTTTAAATGCAGCATTTATTCTATTTCGTTTTATTCTAGATTACTTCATCTTCATTTGACAAATGTTGATTTAATTTCTCTCCATCGAGTGTAATATTAGCCTAATGTAGGTATCGACTGTCATTCATTGAATGTTGTATTTCCATTTTGACTGAACCGTCCTCTTGCTGCTTTCCAGAAGGACTGCAGCGCGTGAGAGGGAACAGAGCTGGGCGGAGACGGACTTTGACAATAGAGATAGATAGAGGACTCATCTTTGTATCTGTGAAATTATAGCGTCTGTGACAGCATGGGCGCCATTGAGGCTACCTCCATTTTAAAGTGGTCAATTTTGTTCTTCATTGTCTGATTGCTCCCAACTCATAGGAATCCAGACCCAGTTGACTACTTTAAAATGGTGGAAGGCCTCAATGGCAATGTCCATTCTAAAACGGTTATATACATGGTGAGTACTATCTGTCTATCTATCTATCTATCTATCTATCTATCTATCTATCTATCTATCTATCTATCTATCTATCTATCTATCTATCTATCTATCTATCTATCTATCTATCTATCTATCTATCTATCTATCTATCTATCTATCTATCTATCTATCTATCTATCTATCTATCTATCTATCTATCTATCTATCTATCTATCTATCTATCTATCTATCTATCTATCTATCTATCTATCTATCTATCTATCTATCTATCTATCTATCTATCTATCTATTTCTATGACTCTGACTGAGTAAGATAAGAGTTAGGGTTTAGGAGATAGGAGATAGGAGACAGGCTTAAGGAGCTAGGAGCTAGGGCTTAGGAGTTAGGGCCTGAACATAACTTTGTAGTTCACTATAGCCAGTGTGGCTTTTGGATGAAAAATGTCAGCAACTGTGCTTGGTGTTTGATCAGGATTACAACAGTGGAGGAGAGGAGTAGAGAGGAGGGTTGAGGAGCAGAGAGGAGAGGAGAGGAGAGGAGAGGAGAGAGGAGGTACCTGCAGGTCATCCGCCCCAGGGGTAGGGAGCCCCAGACCTGCCGCAGGCAGCAGCCTCTGGTCGTGGTGCATGCCATACTGCCCGCCGTGTGACGTCATCAAAGACAGGTCATGTCTCCGGTAAGCGTCCAGGCAGCCCAACTCGCGCCGCTGCTGCTCATCCAGGCACGAGGACTTGAGTGCACGGGCACTGTGCAGGTTGATGAAGTCTGCATCTCCATGTGTTGCATGGTGAATCTGCTGGTAATACTGCCCAGAGTGGAGAGAGTTGAGGCCGTACGCCTCCGGTCCCACCGCGGGGTGGGAGTGCTGGAAGTCATAGTGGAAGGACTGGTGGTGCAGGGGGGTGTACTGGTGGTTGGTGGAGAAGTAGGGCGAGGCGAACTCTGTGGCCGCCGGGGGGTAGGCTGTGAGCGGCGAGGATGAGCTGTAGGCCACCGAGGAGTTGGCGACGCTCTCGAGGCAACCGAGCTGCATCAGACGATAACTGTTGGACCCATCATGACGTATCTGAGAGGAAGAAAGGAAAGGAAAACATCGGCAGTGTCATTTCATTTACCATCTCTTTAACCCCCAGATGCCTCCCAAATATGCTCTCACACACGTTGACACAACTCAAAATTCAAAACGCTTAGAAAAAAATACATGAATATGTCATTCCATGAGCCCTCAGTGTGTTGTTCACAGTATCTGTCATTCTGCGTGCATCGTTTTAGAGCGCATGTTGTTCTGTTATTATTTTTATATTATTCCTATCGAACTGCGGTCTCAGCTATACGCGAGCTGGATGGCAGGTAAGTAGGGTGAGCCACCCTAGTATTCCGCCCTGAATGTTCTAATCACACCCGTTACCGGTTTTGCACAGAGGAGCCTCATCTGCCTTGCTCTCCATTCATTCTTTCTCTCCAGACTAATAAAAAAAAAAAAACTCTACTCTAAATCTGCATGTAGCCTATCAAACAGTTGTGATTACTATAACTGATACAGAATATTCCTTAATGTTATTTATAATGAAGAATGAAGAGTGATAATGAATAAATACCTCGGAATCATGGACCAGGCCGGGAAATGTGGCTGACATGGTGTTGCTCCGGTAACCTGCTTTCCCTCTTGATCAAATAAATGCTTTCCGTTAAATCCCCAAAACGAGAGAAATGGAAAAAGTCCCCGCGTAGAGCCGCAGATAGCTGGTGAAACAGCAGCGTTTCCCCTCTGTACCAGTCACACCGGCTGGCGCGCCGATTTTGTACTTGCAGGGTATTTCTGTTGTGATGTCGTCGGTGGTCCCCTGATAATATAGTTAGAAAATTAAGCATCAGCACTGAGGAATGGATGGAGGACAATAGACGAGCTAGCTGCTTCCATCCCAGGAGACAAGGAATAAATATTGTATCTTCCCTAATAAGGAACCGACACTCTTTCAACATTTTCATCAATTTTTGTGGACATTTTCTTTTTGCTCGTTTGTATTTCCTTTGTTCGTTTTACCCACATGGCTTAAACCTAGGCTATTACATCAGGAAGGCTGTAACAACAGGAATGTAAGTTGATTTTAAAACATCCCCTGGTTTATGTATTGATTATTAAATAAAAATGTATTTTCGTTTAAACTAAATGTGTTTTATGAGGACTTCATTGCAGTGGACGTCAACGAATATCTATTAACCCCATTATGATTACTACGACTATTGCCATATTACTCCTACTATTATTATTGTTGTTTTATTGTTATTATTATCCTTATTATTGGTGTTTAATTATTATCATTATTTTATCTTATAATATACCTTTTTATTGTGGTTATTATTATTATACTATAGTCATTGTTTTTAAATCTAATAGACTCGATATTAAACAGTAATATCTCCTCCAGATGTATTTGGAAATAACGAAGATATTATGTTTTGATCGGAATTATAAATATGGAATGAGTGTACTACCTGGAAAGAAGATAATTTCGTGGAGATTAGTAACGAGAATAATCAGGAGATAATTTCTGCTAAAAAAATAATAAAAATTAAAAAAAAATCCTAACAGATCTGGATTTCTCTGAGCAAAAAACCTCGTTACTTTTCTCTTATGTCATGAATGGAACATGGACATTTATAACGTACATTTATAGGCTAACAAAACGGCATTTCACAGTGAATTGTTGAGGCATTGTGATATTACCAGGAGAAGTTTGTGTGTTTTTCTGCTCTGATGGGGCTTCAGCTCATGAGAGAAACAGAGACACCGACTCATCTCTGTTCTTTGGCGGTTTGGATCAAGCCTCTTCAACCAGGGCTCAAGCGCTGTGGAGAAGTGGCAAAGTCGGTGTTGCCCTCAAGCAGGCCGAAACAAGACTCTGACTCCATTGTGAGAGTGGCGGGAGCGTGAATGGAGGTCAGCTTATTATATTCGGTTAGGACCGGGAGACCAGCGCGAGACACAGCGGTCAGTATGATGATCTCAACCACCCGCACTCACCTGGACTTGGTTAGACGGTAAACAGGCAGAGTGAGAGAGAGAGAGAGAGAGAGAGAGAGAGAGAGAGAGAGAGAGAGAGAGAGAGAGAGAGAGAGAGAGAGAGAGAGAGAGAGCCTGCTGGTAACGGACCGGTTGAGAGAGAGAGGGTAGAGAGATAGGAGGGTCTGCAGGTAACGGCCGTAGAGAGAGAGGAGGGTCTGCCGGTAAGGGGCCAGTAGAGAGAGAAGAGGGTCTGCCGGTAACGTCCGGTAGAGAGAGAAGCGGGTCTGCCAGTAACGTCCGGAAGAGAGAGAAGAGGGTCTGCCGGTAACATCCGGTAGAGAGAGAAGAGGGTCTGCCGGTAACGTCCCTGCTGCTTTGGAGGGAAGAGAGGAAAAGATACATGTGGAATAACAGAAGGCTGTGCTTCCGGTCAGGCCCTGCAGCGCTCTGTCTGTATGCCTCAGTACTGAACTATTCTAGCAGTCTGTCAGATATAACACGCACTGATGGAGAGAGAGGGAGAGAGAGGGAGGGAGGGTGAGATAACGTTAAGCGAGTCTAAGCGCAAGGGCAGAACGGTGCTTTTAGTGTTGTAAAGCCTGGAGCTCTCCTTATTTAACCCGAATTATCGCAATTACTCCAGGAGACGCTAAACCCACCCGCCCACTCCACTTAAAACCGGCACCCCCAACATGCGCGCAGATACGTTCATCAATGGTTAACTTAAACAATGGTTGTGGTGTAAACTGTATTGGTGTGATATTAATATGATGACTCTGTGTCATTATAATAACCAGTCACCAAAGACCACAGACAGGCAGACAGGCAGACAGGCAGGCAGACAGACAGACAGGCAGACAGGCAGGCAGGCAGGCAGGCAGGCAGGCAGGCAGGCAGACAGACAGACAGACAGACAGACAGGCAGACAGACAGACGGACGGACGGACGGACGGACGGACGGACGGACATACAGACAGACAAACAGACAGACAGACAGACAGACAGACAGACAGACAGACAGACAGACAGACAGACAGACAGACAGACAGACAGGCAGGCAGGCAGGCAGACAGACAGACCCATTAGACGCCTTATTTACTCTTAGTCTTCAATTAACAAACTATTTCTCCATCTGTTCCTATACAGGTCTCAGGGCATCGCTAAATAACCACCACAACACTCTCTCATCTCAATAATATCAAAATTCAAATGAGAAATTACAACCACAAAACAAGATCATGAAACACACACATTATGGAAGGTTTAGCCTAATATATGCTTTTTAAAATAGAAAGTTCTCAAGACAGCAAGTCCGTGAGTAAATTAAGTAATTCGATTGTTTTGCCTCGAGGCTTGATGCGATTGAAGGCCAGTTGTAGCACGTGAGGATCAGGCTTCTCTGCATATCCACCGGGCAGAGCGCGCTGTGTGTGCGCGAGGCACCAGTTGCGCGGTAGACGGTGCTAATAGGGCTTAGCTAGTGGAGCAGCCTCCCGGACAGGGCAGGAAGCGCAGCGAAAGATGCGCAGTGAGTTCGAGCCCGGCCCGGCTCCATCTGCTGCCTTGCGAGGTTCGGAGAGACTCATAATCTTAGCGCGGGAGCGAAATGAACACTCAGACACACAGGGTCAAATCATACAATTTACTGTCAAATAGACTACTATAATACTATACTACTATCCTATAATAACTATCACATTATATTATATATAGTCTTATACAGTTAACCGTGTCTATCAACATCCAATTGAGGTTGAAATCTGCTTACTCTTTATGCTAAATATACTAGCCTATACTCTATATGATAAATATACCAACCTATACTCTTTATCATAAATATACTAGCCTATACTATATGTGATAAATATACTAACCTATACTCTTTATGATAAATATACTAGCCTATACTATTTATCATAAATATATGCCTACTAAGTAGCCAAACTTTAGGCGTGAAATTGACATTTTAAAAACAAAAATGTTAAAAGTAAAATGCAGACCTCCTTGAAAGAAAATGTCACCACTTTTATAAGAGAGTGATGAAGACCCTGTGAAAGCGTCTTAATGTTGTCTCTTAGATGAGACACTATTACCAACTCGTCTTCAGCGTCTTAATGTTGTCTCTTAGATGAGACACTATTACCAACTTGTCTTCAGCGTCTTAATGTTGTCTCTTAGATGAGACACTATTACCAACTTGTCTTCAGCGTCTTAATGTTGTCTCTTAGATGAGACACTATTACCAACTTGTCTTCAGCGTCTTGAGGTAGTTTTTTGTAGATTAAACCTCTTCGCTTTCATTGGGACTGGAATCTAATCGAAATATTCACGTGAAATAACCAAACCATTTACAGACCACTAATCTGAGAAACTGTGAAAACCTATAGGCCTTGTTGTAAATTTGGGATAATTTTTCTTGTACTTTCATAACACAACCAGCATAGGTCTAATTCTATAAAAAATATTGCAACGTTTATAAATCAAGTTGAACCGTAATTTTGCAGGCTTTGGAACAGGCTTAGCTTGTGTTGTTCTTTCAATATGTCAAACCTGAAATAGATATTTTTTTAAAGGAATGCCAGATGGTTTCCTCTAAACGTCCTTTCTCCTCTCTTGCTCCCTTCTTGTCTCTACACAATGACTATAGGCATACCGCCGTTTCAGTTTCCAGCAGTGGATTTCAGTTATTATCGGAAGTGCAAATGCTTCACGTGTGTAGGCTATATATTAATGCAATGCTGAATGTATTTATTTTTATTCATTGAATGTATTTGACAGAGACAGTACAAATCAATCCACATTTCATTACACCAATGTAAAGATGTATCAATTTAAAGCTAATTCTCATCAGTAGAGCAAGTTAAAATTAGCCTATATCAACAATATGTTAACAATTTGATAAATCAACAATATCGATATCAATAGCATACTAATACTACTACTACTACTACTACTAAAATAGACACCACCACAATCCAAGAAAAAATAAACGTTTAAGAAATGTTTTAAATGAATAATTTCTAGAA